ATAATGTAACATAAAACCTGCATGTTTGCATGTTGCATGTTTTTCCAGACATAAGACTAATCTAGATCGTTTTTTCGCCCCAGAAAACCCCCACATACCAAATTTCAGCGAAATCGTTGGAGCTGTTTCCGAGATCGCCGGTAATAATAAATAAATATACAAGAATTGCTCGTTTAAAGATATAAGATAGTGAAGGTTCAGTTTAAGAGTTTTATTTTAAAGTTAATATTGTCCTTGTCTGGAATACTCATATAATTTAATCAACCAAAAAAAATATCTGTTATTTATCTATCTTATCATGGCCCACATACAATTAAATAGTATAATTTGTTTAATAAACATTTTCTCTTTGGAAATGTGTTTGAGATGAAAAGAAGCTTCATAATTATGCGCTCATTTCATTTAAGTACGAGTATATTACGAGTATGATAGATCTCATCTTCTCATTCAATGAAATTGCAGTTTCATTTTAATCTGACCTAAGTGTGCATCTTATAGCAATCACGTGCGAAGTAACATACGAAAGCTAGTATATTTTTATTTCTAAACTAACATTGCCCGCGGCTCCGCCCGCGTTCAGATGACCAAAAACCAAATTCTTAGTTTTTACATATTAGTATAATCTTACAATGCAATTTTTGTATTTTGTCTCAGAAATGAGATATTTTCCCGCAAAAAAGTATCCTATATGTTGACCTGGATAACCAGCTATCATCATAACAAATTTCATCAAAATCTATCCAGTGGTTTTCTCGTGATGCGGTAACAAACAGACAGACAGACAAAAACTCTGAAAACTATAGATTCGGCCTCTGTATCGATAATAATGTCTATTTCAATTAGATATTCCAAAAAATATTTAATGTACAGATTCGACTTAGTTACAATTTTATTATAATAATGTATACTCGTAGATGGCTGTCATTATCATTCAAATTATGTTCAAGTTCAGTAGATCAACAAAATGACAAACTCTATGCAACGTTCGTTAGACGATACATATAGGTCAGGCAATATTGGATGCCCTTTCTCCATACGGCTGGCTGTAACAATTTGGTGTCAACGTAGTAACAGAGGGTGTGCCATTACGTCATCACCGCTAATATCGGGAGATAGCGACCGCCACCCTTCACGACGGATATCTACAAGCTATATAGTATACTCTACATTTACTAGACTGGCATCAATTTTCTTTTTTTATACCTTTTTGCCTCGGCTTCCATGTGTCACATGGCTCGATGCTTAATGAACGTCATGAGTAGAAAATACAGCCTTGTATAATTCAAAATAATTAAAGTTTTCCTGTAGGGAAAAATAAGAAAAATATTAATAAAATTATGTATACGCGTATACGTTAGGGAGTTGTATGATACTCGTAGGAGGGAAATAATCCCTTGATCATATATATTGTTTTTCTATGGTTCGAGACCATGAGGCTAGATGTGTTGTGGCGTCGGTAAATGTCACTTATTGTTAAAACTGGAAATGTAGAGTTTGAATAGTTTCTCTTTGAAACTACAAAGACGAAGAAAAAAATTACAAAGTTTAAGAAAAAATTGAAGGCAAAGGTGGACTGCTAGATATTTCAATATACGATATTTAATATAGGATAAATAAAGTTTTAAGTTGACACTAATGCTATTACACAAAGGATCTTAGATAAGAAATATTTCTTTAATGTGAATCTATCCAGACAGAGCTCTAATGTTGACTCTACTACAGTTGCGTAAGCGGCTCTAATGTGCTAACTCCTCATCCTGAACTAAACAAAGACTGAATATTCTCTTTTGTTTACACCGGCGTTAGTATTGTGGGTAATAGCAGGTGGCCTTGCTCTTGTTACACTGATCACTATGTGCATTATATCATATGAGCTTAGAAGGTGAAATATGTTCAAATCATTTAATAAGTATGTTTGTGACTTATATATGTATTTATTGGAGGTTACTTTTAAATTCAAAACAAATTATAAAACTTACTTTGAGGGCGTCAAAAACTGTTAATTAATAAGTGAACAAAACGTAATAAATACGATACTCAATCGTAAAATATCGTTTCTTTGATGTTTATCTTTTTTTGTGTTATAACTAACATGATTTAGAGAGAACTTTTTTATGTTTAAACTTTTTGCATTGCGAAATCAACTCATTACATTGCGAAATTGTTTTTTTTTTAAATATATAATAGGCACATCTACGAGTAGGTACGTCTGCAAACGCGTTCACTGCCCAGATTTCACTTTCACTGCATTGTTATTACATTTCAGTTTTTTAAACTTGTTTTATATAATAATACTTATTACATGCGAAATATGTATGAATTTTTTAAGGAACACTAGTGATCCACCTTCGGCTACCTTAATATGTGCCATCACAATATTTAGTGAATTCTCTGTGGCATTATCACTAAGTATATAAAAGACGAACAAACACTGTTCTGCATTTTCAATATTGCTAATGAAGTAAGAACTCTATAATCTGATTTTTTTGTTATTTTGTTTAAAATTCATTATCATATACAATTAACCTATTTACAACTTGGCAACCTAAATCATCTCAGTAGTAGTCGCGAGTGGTAGACGAACATGTCAATTGCTTCGACGGGGTGTGGCGGTGACGTCAGCGGGGTAAATGCCTCGCGCACGCAATCATGGGGCGATCTACCCCTAGATGTTTTCGATTATAAACTGGAATTTACCTGCTTTGGAATGTTAACAAGGCCGTTATGTTTTGTTTCAAGAAGATCACGGTGAAGTTATTGTATACGAAGTATTTAGTTGAAGAGTCTTTTCCCGTAAAGTGCCTTCATGAAATGGTTCTATTTCAAAAAATTACTTTGGTAGAATTAAGAGTTAGGTATTTATAAATTATTAGTGAATCATCCTCGCCCCGCTCGTTCTCATTATGATCGAGTCTCATTATGATGAAGTTATCCTAAATGTTGACCCGGATTATAACCAGCTATCATCATACCAAATTTCATCAAATCTGTCGAATGTTTTTTTCGTGATGCGTTCCCAGACAGACACACAGACACAAATTCTAAAAACTATAGCTTCGGCCTCTGTATCGATAATAATGACTATTTCGAGAAAATTTAAAATATTTAATGTACAGATTCGACTCGGTTACAATTTTATTATATGTATAGATGATAAGTTTAATATCGGTTGTGATGTTATTCGTCAGTGTTCTAATGTTGTGCACTATTCCGGAAACAGTATGATAAACAAACACTAACGGCGCAACACACACTTCATGTCAACTACTACATCAAAACTAATATTATAAAGAGGTAAAGTTTGTGAGATAGTGAGTTTGTGACGTTGTAGGGGGTAATCTCTGGATCTACTGAACCGATTTAAATGAAATTTGGTAAGAAGATAGTTTGAGACCCTGGGAAGGACATAAGATACTTTTTATCCCAGAAATCATCTTTTAAGGGGGTGAAAATGAGGATGAAAATTTGGATGGGGGATCAAGCTAGGGATGAACCTGAGCGAAGCGAGGGTAAGTCGTTAGTGTTTAATATAACTAATTATCTATTGTTATACTTGTATGTATTTAATGACATTTTGAGATAATCTGGAATTAAAATTAACTTAAAAGTAAAAACATTTGTTAAATAATGTTATCGCAATAGGCGAAAATCGACATTTATTTCCACATGACACATTGGTTGTCCTCGGTTGATTCTAATGCAATCTAGGTTAGCGTGGCTACGTGTAGAATTAATTATTTTCTTTTACGCTTCATACACATATTCAACTTTCTGCCTGTAATTTGACAATCGCCGTGTGCTAAAAAGTTAAAACGTGCAATCAAAGATTTTTTATCAAGATTCGCTATGTTTTGGCAACGAAATAATGAGTTGTGACATAATAACTAAATAAACTAGTTATACCTACTTTTCTTGTTTCTTATCAAACCAGTTTAATTTGATATCCATCCAAACAGAAATATCCGTAAAAAGAGTCAATTTGAAATAGATTTTCATACTTGTATGTGTATTTATTGCTTTATTTCATATTTCGCTCTATCGCTTGCATTTCCAATAGTTTATACATACTTACTAATATTATAATTGCGAAAGTAACTCTGTCTATCTCTCTCTCCTTTTTACGCTTAATTCGCTGAACCGATTTAGACGAAGTTTGGTATGGAGATAGTTTGGAACCCTGGGAAGGACATAGGATGATTTATATCCCAAAAATCAACTCTTAAAGGGGTAAAAATGGAAATGGTAGTTTGTATGGAAAATCTATCTTTTATCAAGTTAAAGGGATATAAAACTCATCATACCTTTGTAGGTATATATAACTAGTCTATCTATTCCATACTTGACGAAACGTTTGGCACAGTTTGTAATGATCCTACTTGCTGCGCCAGCGGTCGCGGGTTCGAGTCCCGCTGGGGGGCATTCATTTGTGTGATGAGCACGAATGTTTGTACTCCAGTCATGGATGTTTATATTTATAATATGTATGTATTTAAAGTTATATATGTATAATGTATCAACTGTCTGATGGAACTAGATGGTGTTGTGTGTTAGTGTCCTGACATATTTATTTATATTTATTTATTTATACTAAGCGTCAAAACATACCTACCCGAGCGAAGCGAGAGTGAGTAACTAGTATTTTATAAATTAAATTTTTATCTATGCATTAATGTTAATAAAGATAGTTAATCTCGTTTACTTCGTCTGAGGAGTTCTTATCAGGAGATAAATTTGCATTTTACACTCAGTCTTGTGATTTTTATTACGCATCATAAAGTACTCCAGAAGTCGAATAATTTGTTATGATGATGCTATTTCAAGTGCATATTATTAATTCATTACTCATATGGAGGAATACTGAAATTTTAATATGGCAGTTTAAAGCCTATGGCAAATGCCTATCCCAAATAGAGAAACTTTTATACACTTGAGTCAGTTGAGAGTGAGAGAGTTATACAGAGTATTTATATAAATTCTTAATGTGTCATGCTTTTTCAAAGGAAGGGCCACACTCCACATTGCCAGATGACGAGTTCTACGATGCGGTGGAGACTGGCTTCGATAAAATGGAGGAGGAGCGGTGCGCGCGAGTGGCGCCGCCCGCTGAAGTGACGCGCGATGAGGTAGAACTGCCGCCGCCGGTCATCGACAACCGACTCACAGTTCACTCCCTATGGCCTGAGGTAAAATTGGTACCATTATGACCCATTTATGCGTTAGAAATAGCAAATGAATTTCTCAATCACATACTATTATTATAGATGCGAATTAATTTTGTGTGTGTGTTTATGTTTGTTACTATTTCACGCTCGAATGGCTGAATGGTTTTAGAGGAAATTTAGAACACAGATAGAAAATGACCTGATCACAGAGTCTACTTGTTAGTAATAAAATTTGTCGTAAAGTGGTTCTGCCGGTATATAATATTTTAAATACAAATACCTCCTAAAATACTACAAAAAGAACTCGAGTGAAGCGATAATTAGACACTAGTAAATTATAAGATACAACAATGATAATGGCTCATCCAATAAGAAAACTTTGTTACCATTGTTCTGTTTAAAATCCACGATGAAATCGAATGCCTCACCGACTATCGGTAAGGGGCCAAATGCTCTATATAGCCAAGTAAGTTTCCATTCAACTGTATAGTAAATTTAACATTTAACGGTATAGCGCTACACCGTTTTAACTGCCTCAGTGGTCTAGTGGCTAGCACGTAGTGTACGGCCGCAGATGCGGAGATCCTGGTTTCGAGTCCCGGATCCGGCCAAGTTCAGTTATTAAGTATTTCTGTTGATTTATTCTCAGTAACAGACCCGAGCCCGGTTAGAAAGTCCGCGGTGTTTAACACCCGTGCCTCAGAGAGCTCGTGTCGTGTCGGTCCTGTGCCTTAACTCTCACCGGTCGTGTTGAGTAATCGTCCCACCGGAGTATGAGAGCACTATGTGTATAATATCTCTTGCGCAGAATCAATGAGATTGGTCGCCGTGGTCGAAATCGGACGGGAGGACATTATTATTACCTAGTAGTGCTTTAAAGGTGTCTGCCCACTACACCGTCTCATACCATGACCGTGCTATGAACGTATTAGGTACGGAAACAAGCATGGCACAGATTACTATGCCCACTAGAACGTATCAACAGCGTATCATACCCATACATAACGGTTTTAGTACTGCGTATGCTTAGCAGCGCCTGTGCGCATCGGGCCCGCCACGCCGCGTGCCATGCACGGAGCGTACTGGCACCGGCAAAATATACTCGCCGACAAAATAACTTAAATCTCATTTGCGTACTTTATAGGTACATCTTTAGATCCGAATAAACTATTGGTTGAGAGAAAGTATGTAGTATGATGAGTAAATTATGATTAAACTTAGTTAAGTTTAGGTTAGAATTTCTCTCATGATAGTGTTTTATCTATCTCTTGCACGGACTTTCTATATAATTGACACTACAAATCGTACTTCTATAGTATAAGTGCAGTATTTAGCTATATCAAACAAATGACGTGCGGTGAAGTCTCTCTGCCGCCGGCGGCTGTCGACAACCGGCTTATAATTACTCTTAATGCCAGAGGTGTGAAAGCATTATATTATTATAAGGTAAAATTATGATTTATCCAACAATTTTAATTTAGGTCAAATTTTCTCTCACAGTGTTGTTTTGTGTGATACACTCATCGATCAAAAAGCACTAGATACACAATCCCATGCAAAAGTTCTCTGAAAACTATCACCAATTGTGTTTAGGTAATTATTCTAGTTGATATAAATATACAACAATGTAAATTATTGAACCTTAAGTGCAATGCTTAAAGTTGATTTCACAAAAAAATAAATAAAAGTGCGCTCAAATGTTCAAATGAGCGCTCGTTCGGTGAGGACAATTTTTGTCGCTGATTGTGTATCTAGTACTTTTTGATCGATAGGTATACTATATCAGGTACTATACTATCTGTAGCAAACAAGACGCGAATTCAAAAGGTTTATTATCCATAAAAACTTCAATTTCCAATTACAATAAATATAAAATTCAATTATTTCTTTAAGATTGTGTATTTAGACTCAATGGATTTTAATATTCTATTGAAATATATTGGAACACATATTATTACACATAAATGTGTATAATTTGCCTCGGAATAATTAAACGGAAGAATGTTAGCGTTCAGTAAAAACGTTACTCGTTCAGTAATATTTTCTTAGTTGATAGTAATTTTTAATGACATTGTATTTTGTTTTATAGTCTATATTTTTTTTAATCTTTCAATTATAATGTCATATATTTGCCTATATAATTTTATATGATTATATATGTAGGATTTGCGTGATGAGTATGCGTGAAATGATATTTTAAGAATAATAGAGGAGGTATGATATAATTTTAAGAATGGAATAGAATGAAAGATGAATAAAAGAAAAGATGGATGTTTTGTCATAATGACGACACGACGAGACGCGTGACGGTTGTTTTATATAATTTTAAAAGAATAAATAGTTAATAGTGTTATAAATGCTTTTATTAGTACTTGTTACTAATAATAAATCGTTACGCAAACACCAAGGCATTTATATTGTATACAAATGAATAGCCGCATGTGTTACCGACATAAAGTTACATATTCCATAGTATATAAAACTCAAGAATTTAATTAAATAATGACATTTTACGCAAAAAAATTATACTAACTTCAATATTGCCTGAACAGTATTTTTTATTTTTTCCGACTGCATAATACTATTATGTTCGTTTCTCAAGTTGTTCCCATCTTTTATGTTGGTTTTTAACGTAGTCTATATATTTGTAAATTTTTTATTGTTATTTTTAGTTAGACATTCGGAGATTAATGTATTTAGCTATTTCTTACCCCAAATTACTTTACTTACTATATATTTCTATGTCGCCTATTAAAACTAAAAAGTACTCGAAAAATCTTTATTTTGATAGGTTTGGAAAAATTTGCTTTTAAATACACAAGAATTGGCGCCTGAAATCCGCCATTTTGATTTTTTTATTATTTTTATAGATCCTATGACACTTGCGTCAGCAATTGGGAACCAATAAAAAAGCCTCGGTTTTTAAGTCAGAAAGAAATGTAACTTTGGAATATTATAGGTAATATAACATATAAAAAATATGTAACATAATATATGCCTGCCATGTCGAGGTTCGCGGATTTCTTTCATATTGACAAGTAAGGAAAATATGGTTAAAAGGGTATTATAATGAAATCTTTTTTTTCTCACAGATTGATAGGATATCAACAGAACAAATTCAGGCGGCATTTGAAGGTGTTGGTGGTCAGATAGGCTGGCAGTTGTTCGCTGAGGAGGGCGATATGAGAATGTATAGGAGGTAATGGAAATGCTATTTTTTTCCTAATATTGTATTTTTTTCATATAAAAATTTGAATACTCTACTCATTTCCTATTATTTAAATAGGCTGTATATTCAATTAATTATTATAATTTTATTTATTTTAAATCTATGACCTTTGATGTTTGAATGTTTAATGATAAAAAAAAATCTAATAGTGTATACTTATATAGTTATATGTATATAGATAGTATCTACTTGTTTTAAATATATTATGCCTTTCTGTAACTTCGAGTGTTCAAATGTAATGTTATTTAGATTTGGTTTTATGGGTACGTAATATACTAGCGACTCATCCTAGCTTCACTCGGGTTCTTCCTTAGGTTGATTCCCCATACAAACTTTCATCCCCATTTTCACCCTCTTAAGGGATAATTTCCGGGATAAAAAGTCGTCCCAGGGTCTCAAACTATCTTCTTACCAAATTTAATCTAAATCGGTTCAGTAGATCCAGAGATTACCCTCTACAACGTCACAAACTCACAAACTTTATCTGTTTATAATATTGGTATGTAATATATATTACATTTTAACACGTGAGTTTTTATAACGAGTCCATCGATCAATTTACTGTTTATGTAAGTGTAAAATTTTATCAGAAAATTAGGAAAGTTATATCTTATGTTTATACCTAGCTATTTTACAAACAATGCTGGAAGGACGTAGTTCGGAACCCACATAAATGCTTCCGAGAATGAGTAAACACTATGACGGTTGAATAGGCAATATTACAACAATGTGTACGGTAGTGGGACAATAATCAAATATAATAACTGTAATGTACACGCAACTTACTTTCGAAATTGAATGTTTGATTGCTTTTTATTGATTTTATAGTAGTTTTATAATGGGTTTGTGTATAGATATTAGTTATTATGATATTAAATCTCGAACTGAAAAAACGAATTTATCTATCTTCTGTATAAATAAAAATGAACAGCTGTTCGTTGTACGCTCTTAAAAACGACTTGACCAATTTGAGTTATTTGAGTTTTCAATTGTTAATAATTAGACCGTATAATATACTCATAACATAAATAAAATGTACTTAGGATACGTCTGTTGGGTCTGCTAGCTTTCTTTAATAATACGTTTACAAAAACACATAGAATTCAGTCGATAACTGAACGAACGGCAACTAAATGCATATATTTTCTTTCCATTGAATACAACATATGTAAGCTTGTGTTTATGTTATAATTTAGTATTTATACATTTACAATGCAAATATTTTGTCGCGCTCGTCTGTATGTTAATCCGGTATTTTATCTACGCTAGGTTCACTTATGCACTATTTCAGAAACTGTATTACATTAAACTAGCTGACCAGACGTTCTGTTTTTATTTTTGCTTTTTGAGTTTGTGAGTTAATGATTGTATGTTTTACGCAGTAACAACTTAAGGGATATAATAAATGGAATGGTGATAATTTATATTTTGGATAATCATCGGCGTTCAAGATTTTGTATCGACGTGTACTACGCGGGTAAAGCCACGGGGATAAATTAGTTATACATATTTTTTGATTATAAGCGATATCCCTAGATGCCTTTTGTATTTGTAATATCTATCATCATCATCATCATCGTCGTCGTCGTCATCATCATTATGATCATCATAATCATAATATAAAGATTGTGTCACAAAGGTGACCAACACACCTACCAGTGTAAACCCATTATATACGTTATATTGGTCGCGCCTCCTTTTGATAAATTTCATATAGGTACAGGGTGGAACGAATGGATGGGACATGGTAGAAAAGTACCTTAAATATTGAAGTTATCAAATTTTACTCAAAAAAAAAACATTTTTTTATTTTAATAAATAATAATAACTGCAATTGAATTTTTAATTTTGTTTTATGTTAGATTCCAAATGAGTAAATTGTAAGATTTCATTGGTTTCTTTAATAATTATAAGATAAGATGTCGTTCGGGAAATTTTATCCTTACCATAGACTATCAACTAGTTCAATAAATAAAATAATGGCCATGTATTTTATTGTACTTTTAGTTGGTTCGATTACCTGTACAGGTAAACTTTTTTAAATAAAATTATTATTAATTAAAAAAATAAAAGAATATTTCCTGCGAGTAAATGATAATTCCAATATTTAAGGTCAGTACTTTTCTTGCATGTCCTATCCATTTGTTAATTGTTCTACGTGTATATAGTCTATATGTGTACTGAATTTTATTTAAATAATTCCAGCCATTTCATCGTTAAGAAGTAACAAACATACACACATATGCAAACTTTCGCAAATATAATATAATGATAACTTGTTTACAGGGAAATGGAAGTCGACGGCATGGTGATGGACCCCCTGAAGGCGATGCACAAGGTGCGCGGCGTGTCCGCGCGCGAGATGTGCCATTATTTCTTCAACCCGCGCTACAGATACGAGTGGGAGAGTGAGTTTGTTACTTAAATTTTATTTATTGAAGTGAAACTTCTTTAGAATGGTTGTGATTTGAAACTCGATGAAACGGAAATGCGACACTAAAAAGCGACAAACACATAAATATATAGGAATAAGCCGGCGAGTGAATGACATAGAATACATTGTCATGTTGCCATGGTGACCGTTGTTATTGTCTGATAAATATATAATATTATATTCTTTCCGTATATGATATTCTATAAATATATGATTGTAATATGCTTAATATGCCTTATTTAATTATTGATTTGTTTTAATTGAATTGCGATATTTCCCAAAGAAGTTTTAGACGCTAATTTTTTTAGCATAGTGAAAGGTAACAACTTTTGTGATTCCGCCATTTTTATTTTTTTTCTATGCTTGCGGCGCACTATTAAAAATGTATATATAAATAGAAAATATTTAAATAAATAATAACGTATCAGTAATGTAATGCCGTCAAACGTCACGTTTCCGAGATATTTAAAGGTAAAGGTCAAAATATGGAAACTATGACAATCATTAGTAATGAACTCATTAAGTATTAATAGCCTTTTGTTGTTTCCAAAAAGAGCGTTTCCATAATACCATCTACCGTAGTATCGTGTAATCATTATAACGAAACATTTTATCTTAAAATGTTTCGTAAACGTGACACTTTAGGCCACTATATTGCTGATGTTATTTATTTGTTTCATTGTCCTCCATTTTTTAATACCAGTTTTATTATGTACCGCTGCTTTGAAAAAAAGAAATTAAAATGACGGGCTTAATTATTAAATCTATTATACATTAATTTTTAATTTACTGAAGATCTTTTGGGAATCGGGGGGCACGGAGTGCCCCCGCCAAGTCGAGCAAAAAAGGGCACGACAGTACCATCCTTTTCTCGAAGCGATTCAGAGCATTTTCCACCCCCCCATAACTTCGTTATGGATAAAGCTAGAAGCCTGAATTTTCAGGGACTAAAAGAACATAATAAAACTAGGCATATTTCCAAATTACATTCAATTTGAACCTGTAGTTTAAGAACTGTTGCAGATCAAAATTCGTTAATATCGTCACTCACACACTCACTCACTCACTCACCGATCATCAAAATTCTAAGGTACTTCTAGCAGACATAGGAGCTTCAAATTTTGAACACAATTAGTGTTTAGCCTATAACAGAAGGAAAAACTCAAACATCACGAAATTTCAATGCTGTTTTCGAGATATACAAACTGCATAAGTAACTTTGTAATCCTATACAAATAGATATCCGATATATGGGATTACAAAGTTATTTTTGCAGTTCATACATATCATTTTTCGTCACTTAAACTAAAATATTTTAGTTAAATTTACACTATTTTTTCCTTCTATTATTTAAATTAAATATTATTTTTTTAATACCCGATATCTTACTTTTATTTTTTTCACCTCATTCATATATTCTAATATAATTTATAATTAACTAGCTGTACCCGCGGCTTCGCCCGCGATCAAACTACTAAAAAAAACAAACCCTTTGTCACACCGACAGCAGCGCCACCTACCACACAAAACAACACACACAAAAAATTTCATCAAAATCGGTCCAGTCGTTTGAGAGAAGTTCAGTGACATACACACTCACAGAAGAATTATATATAAAAAGATAGTAAATTAATTAATTATACAATAGTTGCACTGTAAAAGGAAGTTAGGTTAATGTTTTACCTGTAGGTTTGTACGTCCGATCCTATGTTCCCCCGTAATTACTAACCTAATTTCGATTCGTCTATTTATTAATGTTTATATTTGCAACTATAAGTATTAGAAAAGTATTTTTTAAATGCGAAAATAATATTTTCAGCTTTTTTAGTAGCTGTATACATTTTTATGCATATACAAATGGGTACATAAATGTAATGTGAAGCGTGTATAGTTTATACCTACTAATATTCGATTACTGTTATTTATAATGAATTGATTAAAATATATACTTAATTAAGAAACAACTAGACGATTACTTAATTTTGAAACAAAGCTCGTACATTTTCTTTTACAAAGTATGATGTTGATATGATTTAGAAAACCTTGTCAACATTGCACGTAACTGTACCCACGTATTAAAACATGGAATATAGAGGTCATGAAATATCAATCTCTTCGAAAATTACTTTTAAAATGGAATGGAATACAACTTTCGGGACTTAACTACGATTAACGTACGATTTACGTCTTATTAAACTTATGTAAGTTGAATATCAGTATCGGGGTAGGTATTTAGTTAGGGTCAACAATTAAATTAAAATATTCGTTAAATTAACTATACATATTTATACTTAATGCATAAGATAGTAGTATTAAAGTCTAGGAATCCGCAATTTCCCAATACAATAGACTTAGATATTTTATCATCCAGACTTGTCAAAATTTGTTATATCAAAGCCTCTGAAAAAAGCCCACAGAGACAAGGAGTGGGCGTTTAAAAAATTCCTTAGCTGACACACAAGAAATAGTACAAGAAAAGAGTAAAAGAAGAAATATTTACAAAAAGAAATGAGATCCCATCAAAAACATTCTGTAAAAATATTGCAAGTCTCGCAACGCATTTCTTCTACCGCAAAAAGCTATGAGATATAATGTAAAACCAAGTCGGTTAATTTATACATTACCTATCTATGGAAGCATCTATCCGACAACTTTGTCATAAATCGTTACCGAATTAGTTAAGTTACAACATTTTATAGTGACCGTAATAATATTAGATATATTTATTTCTTTAATTAATAGAATGACTTGGCCATCGCACTCTATTAATTAAAGAAATAAATATATCTAATATTATTACGGTCACTATAAAATGTTGTAACTTAACTAATTCGGTAACGATTTATGACAAAGTTGTCGGATAGATGCTTCCATAGATAGGTAATGTATAAATTAACCGACTTGGTTTTACATTATATCTCATAGCTTTTTGCGGTAGAAGAAATGCGTTGCGAGACTTGCAATATTTTTACAGAATGTTTTTGATGGGATATACTATTTACATCATAACAACAACATCTGTAAGAAAAAATAATATTTCTTAATTTTTTATTTTCATACATAAATCAAAATATTTTTATTGCACCTTCTAAACGGTAATATAGCATTAGCATAAGAAAGTGCGTGGCCGATGGAGGTGTGTGGGGGGATTATTATTTTATGTCATATTAGTTTCATAGAGATAAAAAGACAAATGTTTTTTTTGGTCTACATACCAAATACTAGTGCAAAATATTTATAAATTATACAATCTTGTTAGATACTCGTAATTCCACTTTCCATTGGTGAAAACCGTAGGGAAGTTCGTATAGTATTGTTTTTAGTTTAGGTCGAACAAACATAAACTCAACTTTAATTTATAAGATGTAGTAATTTTAATAAAGTATTGCATCTCAAAGGATGGTATAACTATTTTTAAAGATAGTTTTAAATAGACGCGATATACTTTTTTGTTATCGGTTGTTATTTACGTACACGTCATACAATACACAAATGCGAGATAACACGAGTCTTAAATGTTATTGTATTTCAGACCTAAAAACAAAGCAATAAGGTCCTAATTTTATTGCTATTTAAATGTCGATGTAAGTTGTAAAATGTGTTAGTACTTTTACCTTGTCTGAAATAAAATCTCTTTTATATATTTTTTACAGTACGCAATAAATCATGCTTATTACGCTGTTGCTATTCATTCATAATTCGTCGAATAAAAATAATAATTCGAACGATTATTTTCACTGTTTTGTAGAAAGAATACTTGTGTTTTCTTTTTCTACAATTTAATATTGTGTTGTATGAAGACATAATTTTTTTTAAATAAGTAGGGTTAGTTTTTTTAATAAGAACACAGAAACAGTCGCAGTAGTTATTCAATAGACGACAATGGTCGGGCTATTACATAAAAATCGTTTTTTTATGAGTTTTATTATTTTATTTCATCATATTATATTCGATGAGTAGACCTTTCGATATCAGAAATGCATAATTTTGCGAGTAGTGTGTGCGTGTGTTTGTTACGTCTCAACGCTTCTTGATATACTTACCTACCATGCAAATAGAACTGCAGTAAAAAATAAAACTTTTTAGGTATTGATTTAAAAATAAGTGTCTCCAATACTTTTTTAGAATTGCGCGAATATTTGTCATTTTAAATAAAACTATCTTTTCCGATTTTATCGCGGATTTATTTTGACTTTAGACGTCTCAAAGGTCATATATATAGTTGTTACAGACAGTGTCTACCCACAAAATCATAAAATTATATTTACCTTTGAGACGTTTAAAATCTCTCCCGTGACCACGATTGCTGTGAACCATTCAAAACGTCGGGAACCAAAAACAAAATTAATCCGCGATGTTCGCGATCAAATCCGAAAAGATAGTTTTATTTATGTGTCTACATATATGTTTCAATCTGTTTCCAGCGACACTAGAAACAATGAACATAGTGGAGGCGATATCGTCCGACGCGATCGTGTTCCACCAGACGTTCAAGCGCATCTGGCCGGCGTCGCAGCGGGACGCGCTGTTCTGGTCGCACGCGCGCGCCGCGCCGCACCACACCTACGCCGTCACCAATCATTCCACTACCAACGATAGTTATCCGGTGAGTGGGTTTTGTTATTAGTGCTATTGTTGTGATAATCTGATGTGTGTTCACCTTTTCGTGGTGGGCTCATTAGCGTCCGGCAATCCAGCCGGACGCGAGGCCATGAGACACACTGAGAGGAGGCCCACTTTAGTAGTCGGTGTAAAATACAGGTTGCTCTCGGTACTTTTACCCCTGGTTGTTGTGGTCTGCTTCGGCAGGCCTGCCGTCGGGTCGTCGTGGTTGAGTGCGTAAGCGATCTTGCGACACCCCATTAAGACGGGGGAGGTTCTGTTGGGTTTTAGTGGGTAGTCCTGGCTTTGCCGGTGAGTCCCACATAACCACCTGTATATATACGGGTGATATGTATAAATGCATTCCCCAACATTTTAAAAGTGGTTAGTATGTACGGCGCCATATCAGGTTCAAGTCCCGAGAGGGGCTTAATTTGGTTATTGAAGTTTTTTGTCAACAAATTTTCAGTAAGAGCTCGGAGTTCGGAATTTGACGCTGTTTCATCGACGTGCCTCGGAGAACACGTAAATTCGGCCCTACGCTTGATGTGTCAATTTGATATGGTTGTGTGTGTGATAGGAGTAGTGTGTACACTTGTGTCTGCGCGCATAATTTTTTTGTATTTTTAAGGCGCTACCCTGACCAAATAACCTTGAGCATTCGTTCCCTCTTTGCCGCACCTCACCTCTATAATACTTCGTAAAGCAGTACTAGCGCCATCTAGCGATCACCTTCCGAATACAAGTAAAAATCGCAGACCTAAGAATTCACAGACATGGCATTATGGCATTCAATAAAAATATCTTTTTATGAAATGTTTATTGGTGCGCCAAAATAATTTTGATCATGATGAATCTAGTGACTATACTTACGTTCATGAATACTTCTAACATTTATTCATTTAAAAGTATTAAAGGTATTCTATAATAAAGATTGTGCGGTGTTTATTTTTTAGATTGAAGGTTTATTTGTAATTCAGACCGTGGGTGATTGATAAAAGCAGAAAAATTAAATAACCAAGTCAATTTTATCATCATTTATTATTTTTTAGTAGGTTTTTTAACAGGTATTGCTAGCAGTGTCAAATAAAATATTCTAGAGAAACGCTGCAGACGTGATATTGACCACTAGTGCTGTTGTTAATAAATTGAGATTTTTTTTATCGTTACCCATCACGTCTATGAAGTTTATACAAAAAAAAAATTAGGTTTTAGTCTGAAACATCATTAACTGTGGTCAATGACCTCACAAAAAATCATCTAATTATGTTATGGTTCATTTTAGCTTGTTTATACAACGTGTAAGTAAGGGTATAGTCATATGAAAGTGTGTGCTGGGGACAATCTAACTGAGAACTTTATCGATGGGAACACCATCATAATCGAAAAAAATTATCAACGGCCCCATTCAAAAAGTATGTATAAGAAAGCTGATATTTTTTTACGATGACTATACGCTTTTTGTTACACGTTGTTTAACGATACTCATCATATTCGATCATCGATATTAATTTCTATACATTCTGTATACTGTTTCGAGTTTACATTTCATAAAAATCTAAATGAAATGAAATGAATAAAAAAATGAGCGAATAAGTGCACGAGTGCCGACGCGGCGCGATGACGAACGACACGTGTTTCACCCTCGAGACCTTGTGGCACACTAACTCTGCGCAAGAGTTACGTAGCGAGTACGCTTAGATTTAGAATAAAATCTTTATAAAATCAATTTTTTGTGTTTTGAAAAAAATAAAACTACCAAAATGTTCTCTATTTAATTACCTATCCATTAGTTAAGGAAGCAAATCAAAATAATGGTTAATTTAGGAGGAGATGCATGTTATAAATAATTATTTCTCATTTCTGTGGTTTTTTTGTGGCCCTTTAATTAAATATTATGCTGCTTAAAAAAAAAAAAACTACAATTTTGGAGTCAAGATTATGTAGAAATTTAATGTATTTTTTATTAGTTGTTATTTCTTTTAGATAAAGAGAAGTTGGCTCCCAAAAACAGCCTAAAAACGGCTAACGCTGCGTTTCGCACGGGAACGCGCCTTAAACATTAGTTCTCTTCCCTTCGAAGTCGAGATAGCATAATATTAGCTTATTTAATTTTTATATCTATATTATAATAAAATTAGTTTGCAATTTTTATATATGAACATTTATTTATTTATCATTGAGTATTTACAAACCGCCCTCAGAGCAACTCCGGCGCGTGCATCCGGCTGTTCGTGACGGTGTGCCTGGCGTGCCGCACGGCGTGGCCGCCGGGCGAGGCGCCCTCGCGCGCCAACATCACCACCAGCGTCGCCTACTGCAGCACCGGTTCGTATTATATATATACATATATGTTCCTACATCCTCACAAACTCACAAACTTTACCTCTTTATAGTATAAGTATAGATGTCAAATATTCTCATATAACTAAGAAAGTATTATGTGAACTTTTGTGCTTCTTTCTATATTTATAGGCATGTATGTATTAGTCGGTTGGTGTGTTATATATATGTTGACATGTCTCAGTGTTAATTTTATAGGGTTAAACTTTTTAATTTGACCGATTTTATCAAATTAAATATATAGTTAGTTCAAATTTGAATAATCCTGTCAGATTTCAAAATTGGGACTCTATAAAATTGACATCAAAACACATCAACATATTCATGTTAGCCACCAAAATAACTTAACATATTTCTCATTTAGGTAAAATATGACAAATTAAATATAGAAATAATCATTGCCTTATAATAGAGATAGTAATAATAAAATTATAATCGTCTTTATTTGAAAATGTCAATTACGAAAAAAATTTAACTTCGAGATTTACGCATACCACTTGTACAGCAGGTACACCGGCTAGAAAAACAAGTATTACCCGTTAAAATCCGTAATCATACATCCATTTGGCTCGCCCAACGTTCGGATTAGGGGTAGTTTTTTAGTTGAAAGAGATGATATACCTCCCCATACACAACCAAAGGGTTGTTCTTACTATGTACTCTCACCATCTGGATTTCCTGGCGCTATTGAGCCTCCACTATGAAAAAGATAACACACATTCGGGGAGAAGATTGTGCGTATAACCTCACTGAATACAGTGTGTACTATATCCGCGCAGTCGTCTTAACGAAGGCGTCTAGACTGCTATAGAATTTTAACAAATTCAAATTTAATGAAAAGTAAATGACCGACAAGGGTATTTAGCATGAATTTACTCTGAATAACATAATGATTCGAGGGTATTTTAGTACTTAATAGTAATTCAGTAAATTGCTTTTACATGCAAAGTTCAAAGACCGCGATACGATACACTCTTGAATAAATATGCCCTCTTGATCTGTTATATTGATAACATCCGTACACACAAATTTGTTTTTCGATGTTGTCGTAAGTGACATAACTCATTTATGATTTAAATTAAAGTGCACAAGTTCGATAACCTAGATGTAAGACGTCATAGTTTAAACGATCATTATATAATTGGATTATGTATTGATTATTATTATTAATTCATAAAATGGTCATATATTAATACATAAAAATCTTAATCGATTTTAAATCACTTTATTTTTTGAATTTTTGCTTTCGGTTTTTCCTGTGTAAGCGTCTGAGGAGTTCCATCTATATCTTTGAATATATTCGCCTAATTTAAATGGAACAGTGTTAGGGCATATCTGTCTCTATCTCTGTTCCTCTAGCATAAGTTAAGAAGGTGTTAAAGTCAGTAATCTTTCGCCAGGAGCGACCGTGGATTTGTGGGGGCTCTGGGCTAACACTTATTGGGAGCGTAAACTATGGTCATTGTCTGTATAAAATCTATAATTATAAATGTTAAATAGTATTAGACGAAATTAGGAAGAGATCGCTCACTTAGCGATAACGCCGCCTGTTGTGCTATTTCTTTTTATATATATACATAGTACCTGGGCGACCGAGATTCGCTCAGAGTTTTTGGCCAAAGAAACATTTAAAAAAAAACAAACTAAAAATTTAAATAATAAATACAAAAATACAATAATATATAAAAAAAAAACAAAAAAAAAATAATTTTATCTTTTGTGTCTGTTTTATATAAAAACATTTTTTATTACAGTAAATCCTGGCGGGTGGGCGCCGGCAGGAGTATTACGTGCCGTGTACAAACGCGAATATCCCAAGTTCCTCAAACGATTTACCAACTACGTGGTCGAGCAATGCCGCGGGAAACAACTGGTCATGTAGCGACTACCCGCCCTATAACGTTATATATAATTGAAAATATATTAAATATATTATCATTGGAAACATTTTTATTATTCCATTTAATCAAGGTATGTTTAATGTTGGCAAGACTTTCAACATCTTAACTGACTTTTACTTTGAACTTAGTACATATATTGTTAATGATGATGGTAACGTCGTGTTCGATATACAATGACAAATAATTATTTCTATAAAAACACAATGATGTCAATATACTATTTTATTTATTTAAGTGTCTTACAAAGTATATTATCATGCAGATTATGGCTTGTACAGCTGTAGTTCACTGTGAAGTACCGGGAAATGGCCACCTGTAAGTACTCATCGTTTAGTATTTAAATGTATGTAATTAGTGTAAAGATTTCTCTATATTCAGAAATCGTTTATGCACATGTAAATGTGAAATGTCTATTCTATTAGATAAGATATTTACATTATATAATATATGGTACAGATATTATTAACATTAATTACGGCCTTTTTGTTTAAAATTTAATCATTGTTTTTTTCCCTTTAGTTAAATAAAAAAAAGGTCGTATTCAATGATATTAATGTTAAGAATTTCCTATTACATATGTGGAGTATGGGATGTTTATGGGAGGTGCGAAGCGAGCGCTGTACAGTATAATGTAACATATTGTGTATATAGATATATAATATTGATTTATATTGACGTTGATATTTCTAACACGTTTTTATTGTTCAAATCTCTCATAAGGCACTCCGCACATGCACCGTTTCCTAATTCGGTTATTGAATACATAATACACTTGGGAAAGCTTCCAAGGTGAATTATAAGAACATAATATGTTCTAGAACGCTTTGTATGAAATTATATTCAGTCCGAATTTGGAAAATGCATTCGGAAACCGTTTTAGTAACTCTTGCGTGTGCGGTCTGCCTCAACTACTTTCTATTTTATATTTATTAGTCTTTTCGATTTAATTTTGTTCTCCCATGTATTATATATAGACCAGGTTTGATTATAATTTTTGAAACCAAAAAAAATAATAGTAGGATGAATCTCATTGGAAAAGGAAGAGAACATAACAAAAATGAAAGGAAAAATAATTTACGGGCGATCTGAAGTCGAGAAGTGGGAGGAATGAGTTTTTAAGGGTAAAAAACGTCTTATCTCGATTTCCGGCAAAACTACATGTCCTATGAAAAAAAGTTAAATGGCAAAGTTGTAGGTAATAAAAAGATCTATAACTTTTTGTATTTAAACTTTTTTCACATAACCTCAAAATTTATGTGAAAAATTTAAATAACCAAGTTTTTGGTTTTTTCTTTTCAAAAAAAAATCTTTTCACGAAATTTGGCGAAAACTTACCTTTTTATGTCCCAAACATACTGTAATTTTTTTGATTTAAATTATTAATTTTTTATGGTTATGGTAATTTTTTTTCAGAAAATGCAAAAAGTATAGGCCAGACCCTCCTAACCCCTTCCCCACTTCTCTATGAAATATGTTTTGATGGGCTAAAATTTTCGGTAGGTCACTTAGGTATATAAGTTATCTTAAAATAGTAATAATTAGGTATCTGCGCATATAATTTAAAGAAGATTCTACAACTTTCGCAAAATATTGTAGACTAGCATTGCCCGAGGCTTCGCCCGCGTTCATATGACCAAAAACCAAATTCTTAGGTTTTACATATAAGTATACTCTTACAATGCAGTTTTTGGTTTTTTCTCAGAAATGAGATATTTTCTCGCGGTAAAAAGTATCCTATATGTTGACCTGAATAAACAGTTATCATCATACCAAATTTCATCAAAATCTGTCCAGTGGAACAGACAGACAGAGAGACAGACAGACAGACAAAAAATCTAAAAACTACAGATTCGGACTCTGTATCGATAATAATGTCTATTTCAATTAGATTTTCCAAAAAATATTTAATGTACAGACTCGACTTAGTTACAATTTTATTATATGTATAGATGTCATATTCAATATTAACTTTATTAATTGGATTTTCTGAGAAAATTTACCATGGTAATGCACATTTTTTTTACACCATCAGAAAGCAAAGATTTCAACGAAGAAAAAGCCCACCGACTTATTTAAAAAAAGCAGATTTTGACGCGAGAACTTTCGATTGAAAATTAGTGCTTTTTCGATATTAAGTCAAAATAAAGTGAAAAAATAAATATTTTAAATAAAAAAAAATACAGTATGTTTGGGACATAAAAAGGTAAGTTTTCACCAAATTTCTTGAAAAACTTTTTTTTTGTAAAAGATAAAATAAAAAACCAAAAACTTGGTTATTTGAATTTTTCACATAAATTTTGAGGTTATGTGACAAAAAATGTTAATACAAAAGGTGTTGATCTTTTTATTACCTACAACTTTGCCATTTAACTTTTTTCCATAGAACTTTTAATTTTGCCGGAAATCGAGATAAACCGTTTAAAAACTCACCCCCTCCCACTTCTCTACCTCAGATCGCCCGTAAATTATTTTTCCTTTCATTTTTGTTATATTCTCTTCCTTTTCCAATGGGTTTCATCTTACTGTTATTTTTTTTCACTTTTTACCATTTTCAAAGGCTTCAGCACTGGTCTAATATTTAGTGTCCGACCGAAACTGGTTTTTCAGCCGAAACCAAAACCGAAATTTCGGTCGGTCAATAGTAATATATTATTATTATATTGTATTTTAATTCGCGCAATTCGACTTAAGTTTTAATTTCAAATTTAGAACCCTTGACCTGACTGGCGAAGCCCAAAGGAGGGTTATGTGTTTGATATTACTAACTAAATTCTTGTTAAAAATCATATGAATCTCTCCTACCGGCCATATTATTTATTTTCAATTACTAATATTTGTTTATATCGGTAGAATTGTTTATGCTCAACTATAAGAATTTTTATTTTCAATTTTGAACAGGGATATTTTAAAATAGTATATAATATGTATCGACCGACCATCGACACGCCGCAAAGCTTTACTGAAACATGATATCATATCATATACATATATTACCATTCCAAGGATATCTATGATGATTATTTTTTTACAATTATATTCTTATCTAAACATGTGTATTGTGAACGGTGTGGGAACGAGGATATTATTTAAAAATTCTTTAATTTTATACAGAATAATATTAATATAATGGTCATTTTTGAACAATGAAAAATAATCCAAATATAAAAATAATATTGCCAATAAAAATTATATTATAACAGTACCAATACAAAAATGGTGATGTCGTAGATTGGTGTAGCGAATAAGAACCCTAATTCATACTTTTATTTATAATAATTTTAGTTAAGATCATTCGCCGTTATTTGTTTTATTTTTTGTCTTTAATATTATAATAGAAGAGAGAGAAAGGGTATTTAGATTGCATTTATAAAGCAATGTTGGAATTGTACGTTATAAATATAAAATGTATGTTTCTGAACAGATTTCTTATGCCCTTTTAGATTATTTTCTAAAAAAAAACTGGATTTTATATAAATTGTAGATTTTATTGGTCTAAAGATGAGTTCCTTCTGTTTTGTACCAGGTTTTTGACCTTTTTTTAAAGTTTCAGCGATTTATTTTATGGTTAATGATGCAATTTATGAGTGTTATTTAGTCCCATACAGATAGATATCTGTTCAGAAACAGCTTCTCTACGTTTTTTTAATAATTATTGTTTATAATAAAATGTTTTATGAACAAACGTGCCGTTTTATTAAATGCCTTGACGCTTATACTACTAACTAGTTTTTGCTATTTATGTATAAGTAGCTGTTTCAATTCTAGAAGTCGTAGAATGATGCGAGATACTCTTTATTGTACACCCAAAAAGAGAAAAAGAATAATATACAATATAATATAGAAGGTACAAGAGGCGGCCTTATCGCTGAAAGAGCGACAGGCAACCTTTAGGTGTAGGAAATAGTACTAAGATAGAAAGGACGCGAATAACAAATAAAGAGAGTAGAAAGATATATTTATACATATACGTATCATACAAATATATAATATATACGAAATAAATACAAGTAAAATATAATTAAACAATACCTAAATACTATAACTTCATATATAAATACTATACCTATATTATACATATATAAATATAAAATATAAAAGGCAAGTTTATACCTAGCCTTCTTCAGGAAGATACCTTAACCTTCATCAGGGATTGGGCTATCAAATGCAAATGAGGTTTTTCAAAACCGACTGATAGTTTCGGAGATTAACTCGTTTGAACAAAAAACAAACTCTTCTGTATTATTGTATTAACAGTACTAGTATAGTATTATGTGACACAAGGACGATAGCTAATTTAATGAAATTAAACCAATAATATTGACGACACGTTTTGCTCGGTTTGTAGTGACCCTACTTGCTGTGCCAGCGGTCGCGGGTTCGAGCCCGCTGTGGGCATTCATTTGTGTAATGAGCACGAATGTTTGTACTCCAGTTATGGGTGTTTATATTTATAATATGTATTTTTTTTTCTCTCTAGATATGTCGCACGCGCTTGAAGGCGTTGCTTGGCCTATAGGGCGGGGTCAAGAAGTTATGGGTGGTTCAACTGACTTCATGGTAGATCCTTACGATGCGATACGTGCGAGGTCTCCTTTCGCCTATGAGCGCCTGGTAGTTGTAGATTGATTCACATAATTTTGACTTTTGAATTTTATAATTAAAATTGCAACGCGGTTACTTTAAACATGTCCACTCCATGCGGAGGCTCCGGGGGAAGGAATGTAGTCCGGGGGAAAGTATGTATTTAAAGTAGTGTGTAGTGCTTAAACTATCTAGTATCCATAACACAGGTATCGTAGCTTCCAACTGCCTCGATGGTGTAGTGGCTAGCATGGACGGCTGCACACTCGGAGGTCCTGGGTTCGAGTCCCGAGTCGGGCCAAGTTTAGTTATTGAGTCTTTCTGTATAGTAAGTCTCAGTAAGTCGCCCGGAGTTGGGAAGTTGGCGGTATTTCACCCCCGTGCCTCGGAGAGTACG